CATGAGGCTAAGCATTGCCTCCAGCATAAGTCTAAGCAATGCCTTCCCTTGCACGAGACTAAGCAGTGTCTCCATTACATTATATGAGGCTAAGCATTGCCTCCATTATTGCATAAGGCTAAACGGTGCCTTCCTCTGCACAGGGCTAAACACTGCCCTCATCACATATAAGGCTAAGCGCTTCCTTGTCTCGTCCTTGAATACAACTAAGAATCAGCTGGTCCCTCTATCAAATGATCGATATCTCCGCATCTTTGCATTTCACGAGCTGAAACATCGCCACATTGTCCGAAGGCATCATATTCTGAAGGCATCATTCTCATAGCCTGAAGACATCATGCCATGGCCTGAGGATCTCTCAAAACTGTACATCATTATTCAAAGGCGTTATAGTCCAGAGGCACCATCTTCATAGCCTGAGAATCCCTTATCATACGCTTCATGGCCCGGGACGTCATGGTCTAAGGACATCATCCTCATCGTACAAAGACAACTCTCACGGTCCGAAGGGAATTTGCATCATGTTTAAATTTTTGCAATAACCCTATATATTCACATGCATGGTGTCTTAAGTTTTGCAGGTAGCGCAGAACGTAATCGTTCTACAAACAGGAGCAATTCTCTCTCCGGTTTCCGTTCACAACGTTCACATCATATGCTGATCTCAAACGTAACCATCGACAGGCAATTGATTACTTTTTATTCCGTAACCACCCAAACGTTCATCTCGAATATCTGCAACATTCAAATTCACATTCATAGCTCTACCCAAAATTATCCGTTACTCATGACACCATCCTATACAAAAGATCTTTCCTTCAAACATACAACCATTCCTATAATGACTCCATCGTTTCGATCGTCGCTGGATCCTGAACTACACACGGCCTGATTTCTATAATACCAGGGATATGTAGGCAACTTAGAAATAAGGGTTCGGCCACCATTATTTAAAAAAACACATCATCCTCACTCATTTCGGACAAAATTGGCCATCATTTTCTTTACCCGACAACTCTTTCATCATTCTTGGGTAAAGAAGGGCAGTTGTTGATAACCAATTTTACCCTCATATTTTATAAAATATTATATATACTTTTCAAATATTATTTTACATCATTACCTAATTTACGAGAGTCATATAAGTATTTTTCAAAATTTTTAAAGCTTTAAAATTGATTTGCTTGCATTTAAGTTGCTCAAATATTATTAATTATCCTTTAAAATTATTTTGTGATGAATTAATCATCCAAATTTATTATTTATACCCACATGTATGTTTTGTAACACCTTTCTTTATTTCATATAATTATATTTGTATTTTTATGTTATTTACACATTTTTGCAATAATAGCCTATATTCTATACATAATTATATTTATTACAGTACTTATGCTAAAATAATATTTTTATATTTTTATAATGTTAATTTATTATTTGCAAGCATTTTAATACATAAATAATATCTTATTATTTATTAATTACTTTTTTATAAATTATTTTTAATAAATTTTGCGTACTTAAACCATTGCCCAATCTTTGAGTTGATTTCAAACCCAATACACTTGCCCAGACCCCAAAAGCCTAGCCCAATAGCCCCAAGCCCAAACCAAACAACTCTCTTAATCAACCCGGTCGATACCCATCTAAATGACCCGCCCCACTCTCTCATTCTATCTCAGCTATTGATCTTAGAGATTAACGGCCCACAACCCATCTCCCATATTCTATTAACCCACCCCAAACCCTAATGCCCATTTTCCCTAAGACGCCATCCCCAGACACTCCCAATCATTCTCCCCCCTACGAAACCCTAGCTGCCTCATCTCAAATCATTCTCTTATTTTTGCTAGACAATGGAATCTTCTTGTGATTCACCTTCCTTATTTGTGTTACCGCATCAGTATCTACGCAACAATGGTGTTACTTAGTACTTGCCTAAACTTAGCAAGTACCATCTCTTAGAATCGGGCCCGTTCAACTTTAATCTCTAAGATTTGGACAATATCTCATCCATATACATGGAAGAAGGGTTGGTTTCTCACATCAGCGGACTAATTTTATAATACTGAACCCTAATTAGGGTTTGAATTCTGATTTGTCCCTTTTACTGGTTCTATTATTGATTGCATATCATATTTTCTTTTCTTATTTGTGCTTAATTGAGTGTTTCCATATTTGTTCATTCAATTTATACTACTATATAAACCCCCGTTCCACGTTCCCCTTCAAGGACTCAACGACTATCACTTGACTACTGTTACTACCACTATTATCTCACTCTCACTCTCACTCATTCTATATTATTCTAAGACTTTAATTTTAGTCGACTGGAAGCCAAGGCCACCGGAATTTGACCTTTTAACCTCTCTCAGTGTGAGCACTACTCGGGGTTCATCTGACACCCTTGGGAACTCTGACACACTAATAATTTTGGGGTTTCTACTGTTCTCTTTGCTATTGATAAAGAAGCTGCTGCTGGCGTTTACTATTCTGCCTTATTTTCTCTTTAGTTCTGCAAAATGGTAAGTAATGAGACTCTCACAATTTCATTCTCTCTTGCTTGTGTTCATGATTTGTATGCTCATGTTATTTTGCCTTTTGTAAATCAATATGATATTGTTTGCCTCTGTTGGTATTCTTGTTTGCTTTGAAATTATTATGTGCCTTTTTGCTTTTCTAGCATCTGAACCTGTTTGAACTCTAAGATTCGATGTATGCTCACTATATGTGTGTAAATTTAACGATCATGACTATTCTAATCACCTATTGTTTGCTATGAGTCCCTTCTCATGCCTTTCCTTGGGTTCCAATACTAAAACTCTTAGGAGAACATCCCCTGCCCAGAACATGATTGAATGAACTTCTTTCATGCTGAATCATTTATGTGTAATCTATTGTTTCTCTACAAACTGACCATTATCATGTGAGCCCTCATGTTACAGTATTGTCTTAATGTCCAGCCAAACATAATTTTTTTGCTATTTGTAATTCTGAGGAATGCACTCCTCGACTTGTTAATCATGTACTCTTTAGCATTGTCTAAGACTTCTAGGGTAGATTTCAATGTTTAGCTTCTTCTCTTTTGTGTAGTCAACTGGTATGATTCTTGATGTCCGATTGCCCTGTTAACCTAGAGTTGATATATTCATTTACCTACCATGTGCTCTTTAGGGACTTTGTGTTATGTTCAATGCTCACCATGTTAAGTCTCATGTTCAACTAAGTGATATGTCTGCCAAACTATACCCACTAACATGTTGTTCTGCTGTCACATTCTCATTAGGCTCTCATATTAAAGCTTCCATGCTAAGGCTGTATCTCACTTGTTATTGTCTATGGCACTACTAGGTTCTCATGTTCAAAGCCCTGCCTAAAAGTTCGCTAAGATAGTCCTAGGCTAAGCTTTGTTTTGAAAATTTGTTTAAATTAATCCTGTCGCCCTTAGACTCTTTTTCTGGATTGATAAGGACGAACTTGCTTCATATGTGTCTTGTATGTTTCCCAAATTAAGCATGATCTTGCTTATATGCCCTGACTAGAATGGTTTCTAGTTACAGTTTTTAGAGTAGTTCTATTACCTGTGTGGCTGAATTTAGCATCCCTTAGCTTATTCATTAGAATCGTTTGGGCCTGGTATGTTGGGCCTGCCTTCGGTATTGAGGGTTCGAAAGTATATTGTCTGCACATGGAGTTTGGGCCTGCTGTCCGCGTGAAGTCCTAAGCATATTTGAAGGTCCAGATGTGTTACCGGGTTATTATATATTTCTATTTTGGCCTGTAATTATTACAAAAAATTTAATAGCTTGTAAAACTGAATGATGGGAAAATTAGTAAAAAGAGGTAACGAGTATACTCTATTCTTGCATAAAAGGGTAGAGAACATGCATATAAGGTCTATGTGCTTGATTTGCTGTTTTTGTTTAGCATTCTTTATTTCTGTACAACGATAGAAATCATGTTTCTAGGAATCACACACACTTCACTCAACCTGTCTAATACTCGTACACCACTCAAAGCATATTAGTTTAAGTATTTGCTATACTTGTTTCTATGTCTAGTATTGTGCGCACTTAGATAACATGCCTATAGGATACAATAACGTATGTTTTGTTAATGCTCATCTAGATACCATGTATATAGGGCTTCAACTAATTAATCAATCAGTTGCTCCTATTTCTATTAGTACACTGCTACTCTATATATCATGACCATAGGATCTTAATCAACTAATCAATTACTTTATTGCTTCATTGTATCTCCACACTTAGATGACATGCTTATAGGGATAAAGTATTATAAAAATAATTTTCAATTGTAAACCATTAGAAATCATGCCTATAGGATACTATTACTCGTCCTAGCAATACAAGAAATCAACCTTATTGTGGCGACTACAGTTGCTACATAATCCCTAATAGTCGCTACTAAAATGTATCAGTGGCGACTTTTGTATTGCCACAAGCACAACCGTAACTGAAGTATATTTGTGGCGACATTTGAAGTTGCTGCTAAAAGAACATATTTTGTGGCGACAGAGTTGCCACAGAAGGTTGAAAAAAATGCTACAAAAAATTATTCCATAAGAACAAATATTAGATGGGTCGCCACTGTATATTCACCTTTAGCAGCGACAAGCATCGCCACAAAAACATTTATGTTCAGTGGCAAGATTATGTCGCCACTATAAATCTCTTTTAGTAGCGACAGGCGTGGCCACAAAATATTTAACCATGAAAGACACAAGGTTTTCTGTAGAGACTAAAGTCGGTGCAAAAGAAATAAACCTACAGTGGCAACTTTTATATCGCAACAATTACTATTTTTTTGACAAAACCATGTCGCCATTAAAACTTATTTGCTCAGAAATTATAACGACCAAAATTATATACATTTCCATGCCAGTAGGAACCTAATTCTCTAAAATTTCATATAAAAATATTCATATTAATTGACTATCAATATTAAAGCAACCAATAATGTTTGACAAACACCAAAAGAATTTCTCAAGCCGAATATTATAAATATTATCATTACTAAAGAGTCAATTACATATATACTACCCGATACTTCATTGTGCATTGTAACTGTACGCATATCCATATCCCAAAAAGACAAAATATTAAGTGCCTTGTAACTGCTCCTTGCTCGACACCATCCTTGAACGATACCACTGTTTAAGTGCCTTATCCCTGCTAGACAAAAGTAATATATATAAGGAACATAATGTGATTTGTTATATCCAAAAACATGCCTAGACAGATAAATTAATGTACAAGCTAATTATACATTAGTATAACACAAAGTTAATTTGTTCTATGCTATTTCATTTGTGAAATGAAATGGTTTGGTTCAGGTAAGCCTGGTTTACAGCCTAAATATTACTACTCAAGCAGTCATATTATCTTGACAATGATGTATCATTAGGTTCACAAAGATTTGAACTTCAAACCATCTCAACTACTATAATGCACATATTTGAACTTTTTCACGCAGTCTCAGAGTTAGGCAAATAAGGTCATTTACAATGATAGTCTAGTTACAATGATTGTCTATAATAGTCTATTTACTATAGTTCTATATTCACAGTAGACTGTAGACGTCACCATATCTTTCCTTTCCAAAATATTTCCTCACAGAAACTTCAGGACTAGTTAAGTACGACAACAGGTAATGGTTTAACGAATATAGTTTGCTTACTAACGTCAAAGATGTGATCAGGCCGTTGAAATTGCAATCTATTAGGGCAGCAAGAGATATTTTTCATTTGCTGTATCCACATACATTCGCTTCAAATGATTCTTTTTTTGTGATTTTTTTTGTTGTATTCCTATAGATTATCAAATGGCTCAGACAAATTCGAGATAAAATCTGAGAATACAAATGTGAAATTGCTGAAAAAATAATTATCCCTAACTGTATTAGAGATTTGAGCATAAATGAAAAGATTAGGAACAGAAATTCAAGATGAAATCTTTCCAAAAAAAAACTAAAAATATTAGAGATTTGAGCATAAACGAAGAGATTAGGGATTTGAACATTATCCCTAACTGCATGTTGAAATTGTTTTCTTAGAGAATCATTATAAAAAAAAAACCCAAATGTAAATATATCTTATATAAATCTTTATGGGGTTTTAGTTAGATATGAGATAGTAACAAATAAGAAGGAAAGGATGCACGAAATCGATTAGGAACATAAATCGTTTTTTTGATTCTTCCTCCATGAAATTATCGATTAAAGAAGAGCAACTTCTTTCCCAAAAAGAAAAACGAAAAATATTAGGGATTTGAACATACCTGACAAATGAGATTCACATTTTGATTTGAGGGATTTTGATTTAGCTGAAATTTTCGCTGAGGAGAGTAGGCCGATTCTAGAGAGAATTTGGCTGAAACTTTTGCTGAATGTTAGGGCTTCTGTTCGTTCATACCAAGAGCAGGTAAGTTTTAACTAATTAGGATAGGTATTTTTCTTTTTGTTAGTTATTTTAAAAGTAATAATATGTGGTATTGGAGCGACCCAGTTGCTGTAATAGAGATTTACCAGTGACTTTTCAAAAGTCGCCACTATAAATATGGAGCCAAAATTTTATTTTTAGCGGGACTGAAAATTTCAGCCACATCAGAGGCGACCTAAAAAGTCACTGCTAAACATTAACCATCTGTAGTGACTTATAAAGTCGCTACTAATAATTTAGCTGTTGTAGCAACCTATAGGGTCGTTGCTATATGTCGCCATTAATAATCCAATTTCTTGCAGTGTAGATAGAATGTCCATAAATCAAACGTCGTTAATCTTGGCTTTCTAACAGTCTTACTGCCTCACTGCACGAACAATGTAGATGTCGTGCCTATAGGTTTGTAATACCTTTAACCTGCCAATATGTTAGCCTTAAGCTGCAATGTTGCATGTACAATACTGGAAATCAGAATCACCTACAAACCATGCCTATAAGACTTAACGACTATAATGCTTCTTAATCTTGAACCTATCTATCGCTTAATCTGCCGTGTGCATTCGTTATTTATGTGTGGTTGTTAATTTGAGCCTTTTATTGCATTTATGTAAAGTCCTATATGTTTTGAATTTGCACTAGTTTTATCATTTTTGAGCATCCTCAATAGAGTCCAGAACCACCTAATAGTTGGTCCAAAGTCTCCTTGACCATAGGCATGGGACAGATAGTGCACGCGTTGGACATGACCTAGAATTAAATTAGAACGCCTTTAAATAAACAACTTTAACATAGTAATCGGGTAGCAGGAGATGATAGTTTGTGCCCGCTGAATAATATGAGCAACCCATACCTTAAGGGAGTTGCGAAGTATTATTTATATTCCACGGGGTGATCCTTTAGGCTAAAAAACTCGGGACCTCCCTTATTTTATATGTTTATTGTTCAGACTTAGTCATTAAATATAGATTAATCAATTTGTACATTGTAAACTCAAAAGACTTGTATTAATCACCTATATAGTTTGATTTTTCCCGATCTCCTTTAAAGTTGTTCATAATAGAACCTTTAAATTCCTTGTCTTCCTTTACTTATATGATCATTTAGGACAATTGTAATCCGTTAATCCCACATAGTTTAAACTTTGGCCGGGACCCACAGTTGTGGACCTTGACGGATTCATAATACCTTCACTTTGAGGTAATTAGAGCCCTTACCCGATCTCTGATGACATTGACTAATTAAACAGAGTTATTTGCAAATAGGTGCCATAACACACCTTTAAAAATCGTTAGGTTGAGACTCTCCTCTTTTGATATCCGTTTGAAATAATTGTCATACGTCGAAACCCACTTTCGAAAGAAAACAGGACACGACAATTGGTATAGAGATGTCTTTACTTATCTTCTAGAGGCTATAAGGCTTTAGAAAAATTTCACTTCTTTCTTTCTCTATCTTGAAACTTTATTCCATTACTAAAGTTTGAACCATTCTATTCTTGTTCTTTCACAGATGATGAGAACACGCATAACATCTACAGCCAGGGAGGAGTAAGATCCCCCTGTTGCAGCCACTATTGGGGGTAGGGGCCGGGGCCGGGGCCGAGGATGAGGCAGAGCTCATCCTAGAGCACATGCAACAACACCCACTATAGAGCCTCAAATTGATCGCGAGGAGGAGATCCAAGTTCAGACCGCACCAGTCGGACTCGCTCAGGCCCCAGAGGGATTTATAGCTACTCCCGTACTTCAGGACGCCCTAGTCCTCTTAGTTGGACTCATGGAGAGTGGTGCTTGAGCTGGAGTATTTCCTATAGCACCAGCTACCTCTCAGGCTGGGGGAGGAGCACAGACTCCCGCCACTCACACTTCGGAGCAGATGGATCCTATATATCAGACTTCGGCAGTTCCAACAGTTGGGGTAGTTCAGTGCGTTGTTGTTACAAATCGTAGGGAGAGGACCGCGATGTGTTCTGAGGGATTGATAAGGTTGGATACATTCACCAAGCTCTTTCCTATTTATTTTAGTGGTTCACCTTCTGAGGACCCACTGGATTACTTGGACTGTTTTCTTGAGGTATTGCACAATATGGATATTGTTGAGACCAATGAGGTTGACTTTGCAGTGTTCCAGATGACCAGTTTTGCCAAGAGGTGGTGGTAGGATTTTGAGCGGAGCAGACTAGCCGGTTCACCTTCACTTACTTTGGGTCAGTTTTTGCGACTATTTTTGGAGAAGTTCATTCCTTTCCCTCTGAGAGAGGAGTATCGAAGGCAGTTCGAGCACCTCCAGTAGGGTGGCATGACTGTCACCCAGTATGAGACCGGATTTGTGGACGTAGCTCGTCATACAACTATCATAATTCCCACTATTAGAGAGAGGGAGAGAAGGTTTATTGATGGTATTACTTTTGGCATCAGGCTTCAGATGGCCAAGAAGATGGGGGATGATATTTCTTTCAATAGGCCTGAGAATAGGCCTCATCATTTCGGTTGCTTCACTGGTGCCTCATTTGGAGGTAGAGGTTCTTTTGGTAGAGGCCATCCTCCTAGGACGATTCAGCCAGCTCTTTAGGTAGCCCACGGTGCTTCGGGCAGTTGTGGTTCTTATGGGTCTTATATTGAGTGGCCAATATTTGGTGAACCTTCATCTCCTATCAGTACACCACCGCTACAGAGTTACTCCAATGGTTATCCAGGCTGTCAGGGTCAACCTTAGCTTTAGCAGCCTCAGCATCCGAGAGAGTGCTTTTAGTGTGGAGGTACAAGTCACATCAAGGGGTATTGTCCTAGATTGATAATCATCATACCTCAATATGGTTGCCGTGCTATTATGCTGGCACCGGTTGCTCCACTACCCACATAGCCATCTAGAGGCAAGGGTCAGGCAGCTAGAGGTAGAGGTCGGGCCATTAGGGGTGAAGACCAGCCAGCTAGAGATTGTCCGAGTGGCGGAGGATAGAGTGTTGGGGCCCGACCCCATTGTTATGCATTCCCAGCTAGACAAGAGGCAGTCATCTGAGGTCGTCATCACAGGTATCATTCCGATTTTCCATAGGGATGCCTCTGTTTTATTTGATCCAAGCTCTACTTATTCATATGTGTCCACACCTGTGGGAGATTTTATTGTTGTAGATCGTGTTTTTTGCTCGGGTGTGGTTTCTATCGGGAGCTTTGAGACCAGTGTAGATCTTGTACTTCTTGATATGGTGGACTTTGATATTATTTTGGGCATGGATTGGTTGTCACCTTAACATGCTATTTTGGATTGTCACGCCAATACGGTGACTTTAGCAATGATGGGATTGACCCGATTAGAGTGGTGGGGGACTCCTGGCCATTCTACCAGCAAGTTATTTTTAATGTGAAGGCTCGACGTATGGTCGAGAAGGGGTGTCTAGCATATCTGGCCTATATCCGTGATCATAGTGCGGAGGATCCTTTCATGGATTTAGTACCAGTTGTGATCAAGTTTCTAGAGGTGTTTCCTGCAGATTTGTCGGGGATGCCACCCGACAAGCATATTGACTTCTGTATGGACTTGGCTCCGGGCACACAACCTATTTCTATTACACTGTACAGTATGCTCCTAGCTGAGTTAAAGGAACTGAAGGAGAAATTGCATGCTTTGCTTGATAAGGGATTCATTAGACCTATTGTCTCACCCTAGGGTGCACCAGTGTTGTTCGTGAAGAAGAAGGATGATTCACTAAGGATGTGTATAGATTATCGGTAGTTAAACAAGGTCACTACCAAGAACAAGTATCCAGATTGATGACTTATTTGATCAGCTTCAGGGTGCCAAAGTATTTTCGAAGATTGATCTGCAATCTAGCTACCGTTAGTTGAAGATTAGGATATCGGATGTCCCTAAGACAACTTTTCAGATTCTATATGGTCATTATGAGTTCCTAGTGATGTCATTTGGCTTGAAAAATACCCAATAACATTCATGGATTTGAGAACCGGGTATTCAAGCCCTACTTGGATTCTTTTATGATCGTCTTTATTGATGATATTTTGGTCTACCCCCAGTCGAGAGGAGCATGAACAACATCTGCATATGGCACTTCAGACTTTGAGAGATAGTCAGTTATATGCCAAATTTTCAAAGTTTGACTTTTGGTTGGATTCGGTTTACCTTTTGGGCTATTTTGTATCTTTCGAGGGCATTAAGGTTGATCCTAAAAAGATTGAGGCCTTTCAGAATTGTCCTAGACCTGCTTCAGTTACAGAGATTCGGAGCTTCTTGGGTTTGGCAGGTTATTATCACCAATTCGTGGAGGGGTTTTCATCTATCTCAGTCCTCTTTACCAAGTTGACCTAGAATTGTGCTCTTTTTAGATGGTTCGATGAGTGTGAGATGAGCTTTCAAAAGCTCAAGACTGCATTGACTATAGCCTTAGAGTTGGTGTTACCTACGGGTTTGGGGGTCTTAAAATGTGTAGTGTGATGCGTCGTGTTTTGGGCTTTATACAGTGTTGATGCAAGATGGTAGGATGATTGCCTTCGCATCTTGACAGTTGAAGGTTCATGAGAATAATTACCCGGTGCACGGCTTGGAATTGGTAGTTATTATTCATGCATTGAATATTTGGAGGTGTTAACTCTACGGCGTGTCGTGTGAGGTATTCACGAATCATCGGAGTTTGTTAGAGCTTTTTAAATAATATGATATCACTATTTTGTAACATCCTGGGAAGGCCAATGTGGTGGCCGATGACTTGAGCAGAAAGGCTGAGAGTATGGGCTGCCTTGCATATATTCCAATTGGTGAGAGACTGCTAGCATTTGATGTTCAGGCTTTGGCCAATAAGCTTGTAAGGTTAGATGTTTCTCAGCCTAGTCGGGTTCTTGCTTGCATGGTTTCTTGGTCTTCTTTGTATGAACGCATCAGAGAGCATCGGTATGACGACCCTCATTTTCTTGTTCTTATAGACACAATGC